CTTTTCTCCCCTGTATGAGTCTGGGTCCCCAGAGACGCACCCGGAACTGGAGTTCAGAGCAGTTGGGGGCTTGTGACTCCCTCCCCATTCAAAAAGACAGCCGCGTCCTCAGTTACCTGCCCGTGCCGCGTGCGCCTCCGTACCTCTGCACTTTACTTCCACAGCTCCTCTGAGTCTCAGTGTGCTTTTCTCTTTCCTTCTAGTTGTAGAATTTCCACTCAGCCAGCCTTTCTGTGGTTCTGAATGATGTCCATTTTGTCTTTTAGTTGTATTTTTGAAGTGGTTGTGCGAGGCAGCAATTTCCGGTGTTTGCCTATGCTGCCATCTTGGTTTTCCTGACTTGATTATTTTTGCCAGTAACTGCCCGGTGGTGGGTAGGCAACTAATTCCACAATGAGAAGTAAGGGGAAATTTTGGTGAGAGCCTTCTAGGAAAGATTCACCACATTTCACTGATTTTAAAACACAATCTTTCATCTCCGAAATTGGCAAGGCTTCTCACAACCCATAGCACTGTCTGTCAGATGGTTGTGGTGATGTACTTGTCATTCCCTCTGTATTTGCAAACTTAATCTAAAAACCTGCCTTTGGGGCATCTTCTGGTAAGATCTAGAAAGTGCCAGAATTAAAACCTGCAGAGTGGGTTTCTTGTGACAACAGTGGCACACCATGTGAAGAGATACTGTACTGCCAATGATCCTGATGTCGCAAATAACAAAGGCATTAATTATCTCACTGATGAGAAATCTGCAGCAGGCGGTTCCATTGTTGGATCAGTGACTCAACAATGTCAGGTTGCAGTTTGACATCCCTGGGATTCTTTTTGTCTTCCCTTGGTGGGCCCAAGCTCTGGGCACCATGCCCTTGCCTGACCATATCCAAAGCAGGAAAGGGACAGGGGACAAAGGTGATGCCTTTGCGACAACATGGACAGACCTTGAGAGTATTATGTTAAGTAAAGTATGTCAAGCAGAGAAAGACAAATGCTATATGATCTCACTTATATGTGGAATCTTTAAAAAATAATGTTTAAAAAAGAGCTCACAGATACAGAGAACAGGTTAGTGTTTGCCAGAAGTGGGGGTGGAAGGTGAGGGAGCAAATATGGGTGAAGGGGGTCAAAAGGTATAAACTTCCAGTTAAACAATAAATAAGTCATGGCAGGTAATGTACAGCATGGTGACTATAGTTAATAATATTGAAAGTTGCTAAGAGAAAAAGTTGCTAGAAGTTCTCATATTAAGCCCTAGCCATTTCGGTTCAGTGGATAGAGCGCCGGCCTACCCATTGAAGGGTCACGGGTTCAATTCTGATCAAGGGCACATGCCAGGGGGAGGCAACCAATCAGTTTCTCTCTCTGTCTCCCCCTTCCTCCAACTCTCTCTAAAAATCAATGGGGGAAAAATCACTATATAAGGATTAACAACAACAGAAAAAGTTCTCATATTAAAAAGTTTTCTGCCCTGATGGGTTTGGCTCAGTGGATACAGCGTTGGCCTGTGGACTGAAGGGTCCCAGGTTCGGTTCGGGTTGGGGGCATGTACCTTGGTTGCAGGCGCATCCCCAGTGAGGGGTGTGCAGGAGGCAGCTGATTGATGTTGCTCTCTCATCAATGTTTCTGGCTCTCTGTCCCTCTCCCTTCCTCTCTGTAAAAAAAAAATCAATAAAATATATTTGAAAAATAAAGTTTTCTAACCTGGCTGGCATGGCTCAATGCTTGAGCATCAACCTATGAACCAGAAAGTCACAGTTCGATTCCTGGTCAGGGCATATGCCCAGGTTGTGAGCTTGATCCCCAGTGTGGGGTGTGCCAGAGGCAGCCGATCAATGATTCTCTCTCATCGTTGATGTTTCTCTCTCTCTCTCCCTCTCCTTCCCTCTCTGAAATCAATAAAAATATATTTAAAAAAATTTTTTTTCTCATTACAAGAAAAAAATTATTTACAACTATGTATGGTGACAGATGTCAACTGGACTTATTGTGATCATTTTGCAATAAATACAATTATCAAATCATTATGTTGTACTCCTGAAATTAATATAATGTATGTTAATTACACCTCAATTAAAAAATTGAGACAAATTCAGGTATAAAGAAAAGAATCGCCTAAGAAGACATGACAAATAAATGTAACGTGGTAGGTATCCCATTCCTGGAACGGAAAAGGAAAAATGGCAAAACCTAAAAAAAGTTAATACAAATGTACCAATCAAGGTGTCTTCTTGGGTGTGATGGATGTACCATAGTAACTTAATAATTAAGATGTCTACTACAGGGCACTGTAGGTGAGGAGTATACAGGAATTCTCTGTGTCATCTTTGCAACTTTTCTGTAAGCCTAAAACTTTTCTAAAAATGTTTTGTTTCAACGGGAACGACGACAGTGCTTTCTTTACAGTGTCGTGGAAAATCAATGAGCAAGTCAGGTCCAGTGCAGGGCTCAGTGCTTAGCACATGAAGTCCAGGTGCGGTTACGGTGATTTTATGTAAAACGAAGGACAAGAGCTCTGACCCTTACGTGTTTGAACCAGGATGAGCCGAAGGAAGCCAGTGGCACGTAGACCCCGTCCCGCCGCCCCGGCACACGCGATGCAATCAAGAGATGCAGTGAACAAGAGATACATGAGGCAGCTGCTGCTGGTAAAATGCGGCATCCTGCTTTACAGCAAACATTTTTTTTAAATATATTTTACCGGGACTCCGCCGGGCGGAGTCTGTACATGGCAGTATGCAGTGTAGCCGCCAGGGCGGAGATGCCGCTGCTGTTGCTAGACGACGCGAACTAGCCTTCGTCACTTCCTCAGCCCGCGGTCTACCCTCCCGTCCAGGCCGGAACTCCGGCGCCCAGAGCCAAGGTGGGCACAGAGTCGCCCTCAGAGTTCCTGGACTGCGGCCGGCGGACAGCTGGAGTCGAGACCACGCCACCTGCAGGGAAGACCCCGAGCCGAGGCGGGAAGATGGCTGCAGACAAGCCTGCAGGTGAGGCGCCCGCGCCCTGCGCGCTGAGACGGCGGGACACGCGGGGGGTGGGGAGGAGGGTGTGCAGACCTTGGGCGCTGTGGCCAAGGGGCCCCGAGTGGGGAACAGGGGTTAAGAACTCAAGGGCGACTTTAACTGGGGCGTGCATTTCTCTGCCCCCCTCCCCGCCCTCAGCCCTCGCTCATGTGAGTCTTTGGACCCCAGGTCCAATAGTTTCTTCACCCAAGTACAGCTTGAAGTCACTACTGGCTGCCTGTGCGCCCCTCTCCTCCAGAATATCTCTGGCTGAAAAAGCCTAAATTTAGATAGCCGTTTCATAGTCTTTTCGACTTCCCAGTGTGAAGGCAGAGCAGGGAAAATTCTTCCCGGAACACACAGCTGCCTCAATGACCCCCTGGCTCAGCTAAGGCTCACCTGGGCGCCCTTTAGGCCGCATCAGTCTGCCTCTGGTCAGCGACGTGCTGTGTGATTAACTGTGTTTAAGGCCCTTATTTAAATAGACTTGGAATTATAATGTGCCACTCGGGTCTGCGCTAACATCTTGCATTTAGAACCTGTTTCCCCCCAGTTCCTTGTGATTGCTTTCACCTCGATTTTGTTGATGAATTACTGCCCCGTTCCTAGAATCGTCTCCTTTAAGGAATATAAAATTCTTCCCTGCCTACCTCTGAGACGGTGTGGCGGCCTGTGTCTCCTGTAAGAAATTAATGATCTCTGTGGCATCCAGGTTTTGTTGGAAGGAACGTAAGTGAGAGGAGTGAGAGGTGGTCAGCACTTAGACTTCACCGTGAAATTAGTTTTTAGAGGAAAAGAAAATCTCAGTGTGCTGTAGGTTTCAGTAGGTCCTGATGTTAATAACTGACAGATATACTTGATTTGAAATAAAGTGAGTCCATCCTCGTACAGGTAAGGAAAACCGTTAGAGGATCTCTTCGGTAATCTGCTAAAAAGAATAACAGAAAAGGTTTAGAAAGTGAGGATAATAGAGTGTACTGTCGCATTTGTTAAGTGGGCTGGTCAGGGAGAGCGTCTGGTGAGGGGATAGTTGAGCAGACAGCTGAATGCAATGAAGGAGTGAGCGGTCGGAAACAGATGTGTGGATGGGGGGAAGGTCTCAGGCAGGGAATAGCACGGCCTGTCCAAGGCTGGACCAAGGGGCCCAACATCTGTCTTCTTAATTTAGGACAGTGTCTCTATTTCCCAGGTTTACCAGACCTAATAACCCATACCATACCACTTCCTGGAATGATCGTTTTAGGCCTAAAGCTCACCTAGTTTTCAAGTCCAATCTCAGTCATAAAGCATTCTTCTACTTGTTCATTCATTCTTTCACAAAGATTGAGAGTGCCAGGTGCTGCCTTAGATATTGAAGAAATGGATATGGCATACTCCCTGCCTTTGAGGAGGACCTATTATTTAGTCTGCTAGAGACAGACTGGTTATAGTGGCACTCCCATCTGTGAAGAGCTATATAATATGTATAGTTGAAGAATAAGTTCCTGCCCTAGCCGGTTTGGCTCAGTGGATAGAGCGTCGGCCTGCGGACTGAAGCGTCCAGGGTTCGATTCCGGTCAGGGGCATGTACCTTGGTGGGGGCACATCCCCAGTGGGAGATGTGCAGGAGGCAGCTGATCAATGTTTCTCTCTATCTCCCTTCCTCTCTGTAAAAAATCAAAATATATTTTTAAAAAAGAGGTGTCAGAGATGAAAGAAAATTAGTAAAATGTATATGAAAATCTCCCTCCTGTCAGATTCTGGGGCTTGCTGTGGGACCCAGAGTCAAGTCCCTGCCCACCCGTGCACACCTAGAAGTTGCTCGAGACCCAGACCCAACCAGCTTCACCCCCGTCAAGCCCCACAGGGTAGGGGGGCGCAGCCTCAGGTCCCCCGGCCCAGCCTCAGGTCCCCTGGTCCCAGTGCGAGGGTGTGACGACTATTTGCATATTAGCTCTTTATTGTATAGGATGAGTGTTTAGTGTGGCTCACTTGAATTCTCTGTTCCTCCACTCCATCCCCATTTCAGCTTCTGAGATTCTGGCCTTTATCTCTTTATGTGATCTGTTTCATATTAAGCAATCTCTTGACTGATGTTTTATCCAGTCTGTTCTCACTGCTGTCTTTTCATTAAACATTTTTTGTTGCTGTTGTCAATCCTCAACAACATTTCTTTTCAGAGAGAGAGGAGGGGAGCAGAGGGAGGGGGAAAGAGAGAGAGAGAAACTTCGATGTGAGAGACACACATCGATGCTTCCCGCATGCACCCTGTCTGGGAGCAAGGAGCGAACCCAAAACCAGTTACGTGCCTTTGACCGGGAATCAAACCCAAGATCCTTCCATACTGGGGCCGATGCTCTAACCACTGAACACACCAGCCAGGGCTGCCTTTTCATTTTATTTCTAAAACACTAATTGGATCATACCCCTCCTCTATCAATAAACTTTCTAAGACAGTACGATTTTTTGTGTGCATCAAAACACACTAGTAATGTCATTTGTAAGGCTCTTCACAAACTATTTTCAGTGGATGTTTTCATATCAGCAAATCTAACTCTTCACATCTGAAATTACACTCTTGGAAAGCATTGTGTTCTTTTGAGTTTCTGAGCGGCAACACCCTGCTTTCTCTTCTCTCTCTGGTGAACACCCTCGTCATTCAGAAATCTAGTTGATATGCTCTTCATCTCTGAGCTCCTGAGCTCAGGGCCCTTTCCATGGAAGATCTTGTATACTTGTTCTTCATTAGGTAAGAAAAGAAGCCCATAGGATCTAGAGAGATTTAAGAAGGTAAGTGACCAGATCACACTGGCTATGGTATAGGATGGATTCCAAGACTGGCCAGAGACTGGCTAAGACCAGTTAATATGATATTATTCAATTAATGCTCACCAATGGCCTGCTCTGCAGGGGCACTGCAAAGTCTTTGTTCTCATGGAGCTTATAAGGTAGTAAGAAAGACATATACATTTAAACAAAATAAATAATTATGACTTTAAGTTGTGATAAATATTGTGAAGAAAAGAAAAAGGAGTAAGAGGATGGAGGATAACTGAGAGCAAGACTCCACTTTGAATAGATTGGTTAGAGAAGGAAGGGCTCCCTTAGAAGTCACATCTGAACAGAAACCCTAAAGGTAAAGAGCCAGCCATAAGGGGAAAGAATGATCCAGGTAAAGGGAGAAACAAATGGGGAATTGTGTTCAAAGACCCCTTGAGGAAAGAGGCTTTGTCTGTGTTAGCTGTGCTCGCTCACCAGCACCTAGAGCAGCGATTCTCAACCTGTGGGTTCCGACCCCTTTGGCGGTCCAACGACCCTTTCACGGGTCGCTTAAGACCATCCTGCATATCAGATATTTACATTACGATTCATAACAGTAGCAACATTACAATTATGAAGTAGCAACACAAATAATTTTATGCTTGGGTCACAACATGAGGAACTGTATTTAAAGGGCCAGAAGTTGAGAACCACTGACCTAGAGCAATGGCTGGCATATAGGAGGCACTCGAGGATTATAGCATAGTGAGCAAAGGAGCATGGCAAGAGATGAAGTCAGAGGTGTGGCAGGGGATGGCTTATGTCAGGCCTTGAAAAAAAATTGAATTTGCCCTAACCGGTTTGGCTTAGTGGATAGAGAGAGCATCAGCCTGAGGACCGAAAGGTCCCAGGTTCGATTCCGGTCAAGGGCATGTACCTTGGTTGTGGGCACATCCCCAGGAGGAGGTGTGCAGGAGGCAGCTGATCAATGTTTCTCTCTCATCGATGTTTCTGACTCTCTATCCCTCTCCCTTCCTCTCTGTAAAAAAATCAATAAAATATATTTTTTTTAAAAATTGAATTCATTCAAACTAATGGGAAACCATTGGGAGATTTCAGCTAGGGCATGATGTGATCTGATTTATGGTTTAACTAAACCAGGTGACAATCGATGACGAGTTAGGAGCATAGGATTTGAAATCAGAGAGCCTAGGTTCATTCAAGTGGTACCACTTGGTATTTTTGAGACCTGGGTAAATTCTAAGAAACCTTTTTGATGTCTCAGTTTTCCTATGTGTAGACTAGAAATGACACCTACTGCACAGAGTTGGTAATGGTATAAGTGAGATCATCTCAGACCCTAGTTTTTTAAAATGCTGACTACTATTACTTTGGGGTAGCGGTAGGATGGGGAGGAGAGGCAGATGGAGAGGCAGATATGGGAAATGTTTAGGGAGTAAAATTGGCAGAATTTATGACTAATTGGTATGGTATGTAAGCAGAAAGCCTTGCTTTTCAGGAAAGGTTGAGCCTCAGTTTCTTCATTTATAAAATAGGGATGCTAATCGTTCTTTCTTTATTCCTGGTAGCTTTTTAATCACCTCACAGAGTTGTAGCTTGTGAGGATCAACAGGAGGTAAGGTGTGTATTTTAGCCCACATCTTCTGGGAAGCAGAACCCAATTAAGGTGCTAACTTTTTATTTGGAAAGTGCAAGTCCAGGGTAGTGGAAGGGATGGAGAGAAGAAATGAGGCAGAGGGAGATGCAGTACATTCCATCCCTGGCCACTGTTTCACCTCGAGCTGGGGAGAGACCTAGTCGGTCACTTGCATGTGGGATTTTTCTTAAAGGTTTTCCAGGAGAAACTGCACATGAGAAAAAAAAGGGGATCATTTATCTGTCTAGCTTCCTTCTGTTTTTGTTTCCAATTGGTCAAGACTCACCTCCTGGGAACAAATTTACCTGTCTTTCTAGGTTGAGTGGCCTCTCAGTGACTGATCAGCCAGCAGTCTCACACCCTGAGTTATATTTCAACCAAATTGTAAAGGGAGGAGTGTCCGAGGGTAGATGGGGCGTCAACCAAAGCCAGAGATTTAAGGTTTGTGTCCCTATATAATATATAAAGGCGGTATAAAACCAATATCATTTTAATTTTTTTTTTTTTAATTTGAGAGACAAAGAGAAACAGCGATGGTCTGCCTCCTATACACCCCCTACTGGGAATCGAGCTTGCAACCTTGATGGGA